TACTTAAGATATTTTGGAGGGCTTTCGTTGGTTTGTGTGCCACGGAGATGCCATGTGGTTTCTGAGACGTTTTTGATGTATGGAAGTGTGATCCTTTTCATAGTTTGTGTTGTTTGTGTCGCAGTAGGTTGAGTGGTCAGGCACTTTTTGATAAAGTTGCATGGATATCCATTTTGTTGGAAGATGTTGTATAGGTGGTCTCACAGACACATAGAGATAAATAGCATCTACACACTATTCAAAAGAGACAAACAACCAGAACAGCTCCTCACCAGCAATTATCACCAAGATAAGCAGAGGTTACCACAAGGCACACAAGCAAGCAGCAAACAATACCCTAATCAAGGAACTACCAGAGGAACAAAACAACACCCCCACCCCCACCAACACCAAGAGTATAAACAGAAAGCAAACCCCATCCCATTCCAGCACTGAAGATGTACCTAGCCAGGTAATGAAACGTTTGCAGGAAAAGAATCAAGCTCAGAGAACCCCAAGGACTCCACAGTTCAACCCTGAGCTACACATATTCACCTCCATTGGTACAAAAGATAATAAATTATCATTGATCTCTTGGTTTTCCATCAAGTGGACAGGAATGAAAAAAAATTAAGTTATGAAATGTCAGGAATCAGCGTAGACACTGCATTGTGGTGCTCTGTGAGCATTGCAAAATAACTAGTCCACAGTCTGTTTGTAGAAAACTGAACACAGACTTTTACTGTACAATCTGTACTGAGTTGATTGCATATACAGCTTAGCTGTGCTCTGTCATTGCCATATTTACACTGATAAATTTCTCCTCCAGGGTAACACCCTGACATGAAATACTCTCTTTGAGTTGAAATAACATTGTGAAATTTTCTTGTTGAATTCAGTTATGCTTTACACAGTGTTTGGTCTCGGTCGGTTAATTTTTTATAGGGATTGGTTTTAATTAGCTTTCAATGTATTGTCCCTATACTTTTACTGCTTTTAGTTTTTTAGTGTTACATGCTGAACAAAATAAAAGTCAGCATATACATATTTTTAATAAATGAACAACAATCAATGAACTCTCAGACAACCAACAACATAGAAGGGGGCATGGAATAAAAATAATATAATAATAAAGAATCATTTCTCAGCTGTCACAAAATTTTAAAATTGAAGGAAACTCTTAAAAAAGCAAATTGTGTGACAAGCATAATTTGTCAAACAAAACTGTAGGTATCATGGCAACAAACCTAAAAACAGGCAGCATTTAAATTGCCATTAATTTTCAAAGATCACTTAAACATATTAAAAAACAAACTGACAGCTGTTGAGGAAGAAACATTACAGGGTGACTCAAATACAAACCAACTAAATGACTTTTAGGGTAACATATCTAGATAATAAATAATGTTCAAAGCTCATGTTCCTCCATATAATTACATTCTGAAAGGCTAACCAAAATTTCAGATAATTACATGGTTACATATTCAAGTCTGAATCAGAAATATAATGTAAAAACATTTTGATCTCAGGCAAATGACATGGGGTAAGGATAGAGGCTGATAACTACCACAAAGCAGCTGTTGAATCAACAAGAAGTTTTTCCCTCCATCAGATCTCAGTTCTACTTTATATGTGCAGATCTGAAAACACTCTGAATACACTAATAAACAAAAAGTTGTTCTGAACATCTGTAAGCAAACTATAAAGAGATATTTCATAATGAATGAACATCATGAATTTTACATAATGCTTGCCAAAAAAATGTGTATTTGTCTATTGAGTCAAAGGCACTGGAAATAGCCCAAAACATTTATCCATTACAAATATCTTTTCAAACATGCATCTGTAGGACAATTTACTGAGATATAAAAATAATTTTCTATCAGGGTTCTTATCTTCAGAAGTCAGAGTAATCTGATTACTGTTTTAGCTCAGCGCAACATGGTTTGTACCTTGTTAACGTAAAAGGTGATAGATAGATAGATAGATAGATAGATAGATAGATAGATAGATAGATAGATAGATAGATAGAAAATTCTTAAAAGCATAATATATAATAAATCACAATGGTTTGCTCCTACGTTCTGCTACTAAAATACTATAATCCAAAAGAAGTCAAGTAAGCTGTGAAACAATTCAAATTGCTGTGGATGTCATTTAATGCACAGAGAATCTTATATTAAGAGAGTTTGGTAATAAAATATGTCATGAGATAAGACACATTCTGGGATGCTCCATTGCTCCTAACGACTGCATTGCATGAGCTGCAATATATATTATGAGATCCCTTGCTACTATGTGGCCAGGAGCAAGCTGAATTACACACAAGTTTCTAAACATTTTAAAGACTTCTAAAATCCAGTTCTTATATTACACACTACTTGATTAATACAAATACTGCCGATGTAACTGATTACCTGGGCTGCAAGGATAGTTAGGCCAGCTAAGATGAAATCCTTGTATCTACAGAAGGCACTGAATTGGGTATACAAAGTTGCAACATCACCACATAGAACCCACAAAGAAGTCACATTCTGACTAACGAGATATATTATCACCACTTCTATTTCCACGGGGAGAGGAGGTTAGCTTAGAAGGCTGTTAAAGGAGGAGAAAGAACAGTCATAAAGGAATACAAAATAAAGGAATATAAAATTTCTTTACTCTTAATTGTACAGAAACTAGCTTAACCAAACTGAAGCAGACAAGCAGAAAACAGCAAGTCTAGATTGTACTCTCACTTTTGCTTCCACAGAAACAGGGTAGCATTCCAAGCCAGGTCCCGCTTTCTCAATGCACAGGAAAAACCAGGGGCTGCAGCTTTGCCCACCAGGTGAAGGAATTTATTATGATTTTAAGATCCTGATTATTGTTAGGAAACAACACTTGGATAACTACTTGCAAGAGAAAATAGATTTTTTCAGTGATGGCGTGGGATAGGGTAAACAATACACTTCAAAGGGAAAGGAGTAAATTTATTTCAAATGGATACAAAATCAAAGGAACCTCAAAGGAAAAAAAATCTATTCCAGTGGGTACAAGATTAATGCACTTCAAAGGGGAAATAATAAAATTGTTTCAAAGGCCACAGGTCAAACAATGTTTTCAAAATTTGCACCATCTGTGGTCCTAACTCTTTTTGTTCCTTTAAAAATACTGGCTATTTTCTGCATGGTCTAACATTCCTGTCATGCCCCTGATGCTTTCTCAGAATTCCAAGTGTTTCCTCAGGCAGAAGGATTTTCTCACACTTACATGATAAACTGCTTCTGCAAAATCTTCCCCATTTATACAATAATTAAATGTACAAGAGACTTCGGTTGCATTTATTCATGCTGGAAGGAAACAGAGACTGGCAAATAAATTAAGAACTAGTCTAACTACTCTGGGATTAAAAGTGGGTTTCTAAGGGTTGAAGACTAACTCTATAACACATTTAATTAATGGAGGACTTCTCTATATTTTCTTTTTTTACAAAGCAAGAATGGCATGTGGCTAGGTTTATTTGAGGGACCGGCTCTCCCCAACTGTATCTACTCATCCTATCAGATCCAGCAGGAGGGACATGCTATAGGCTGCATTCATTAAAGGGGAACCCAGGAACACAGCTTTTCCTGTCATGGCACTTGCTCTGAAACACCATCCCTCAGAGATTAGATTAAATGGAACCCATTTTGCCTTTTATAAGGCCTTGAAAACTTGGCTGTTATAGGACATGGGGGAGAGCCATGAGATCATTATCTTAATGGTTGTTAGCCAGAGTCATAATGTTGAGGTGGGAGACCCTATAAATTGAAATAAATAAATAAATAAAAAGTCCAATTTAGTTATAAAGCAAATTTTTAAACATGGTGGAAACCTCATGTTTGGTTTTTGTTTTTGTTTTGTTTTTAATGTCCCTGTATATTATTTTTACAAAATTATTTAGATATTTAAGTTGTCCATTTAGAAGTATTTTACATGCAAAATATGAATGGCTAGAGCTACATATTTCCACAATTATTCTTTCCAAACACTGAGTCCAGTACTGAGTACAGAACATCCTGAGATATTTTCCATTTGTTTTCTTTCATTTTTTCTTCATTCTGTTCTTGAAAGATATGCTAATGTATAATCCATAGGAAAAAATTATTGGGCAATGACTGAGTGCTAAATAGATTTTTCAGTTGTTTGAAAAGCTGACAAAATGTACACAAGTTCTAAATGTTTTAACTTCTTCCCAAAATATATGGGTTATCTTTGATGGAGTATTTTGATTCCCCACCCCTTTCATGCATAGTATGTACAACCCTGCTACACTGGGTATTAAAAAGATTGTAGTTTGCATAAAGGTGGAAGATACTGATTCAATCAACTACATGGGCCAAAGGTTTCTACAAAATAGGAAGTATGAGGCCAGACAAATCAATTATATGGCTCAGTATAAAGCAACTTCATAAATACCCTCACCTGTATAGATTCCTCTTAACCTCCTATATGTTTATTTTCTTTCTTGATCTCCTGCAGATTTATTTCTTATATTACATTTTGTCAGTAAGAGACATTCAGTCCATAAAAATATGAACCTTACCTGAACAGACTTCTTCATATGTGGGATTTGGGGTATATCCTCCCGCATAACCTACTTGAGTAGAGTAGACTCCTTTCAGCCTCCAAAATTTCTTCTCTGCCCCCCAGAAACAGCCCATCCCTGCAATAGACATAAAGAGCTATTATAATAAAGATGCTTGAGTTAAATTAAGGTCTTATCAGATATTGCTTAAACAAACAATTAAAAATGCAGTGACAACAG